CGTGACATTAGAGTGTAGAGGAGATGAGGGGGAAGGAATCAGGGTACCATGGGGAATTTTTTGAGCAAGGAGAAGGAAGTTCACACAATCAGCAGACTCCCCATGGTCACAGAATTCACAATTAGCCACGGACAAATCAATAATGATTGACTGGTTCTGCATTGCTGCTAAAAGCTACTAGCAATAGGAAAATTTCCTGAAATATGTTTCATAGTTAAGTGGCTTAATGAAAATACACTGGCCAGTCTTCACTATTCAGAAATTTTTGAAAACAAATATCTTTTTTAAATTCTTTCAAATGCAGTATTTATAAACACTGACCTTATAACCATTCATTGACATTTAAAATAGAACCTTATCTCAGTCTATCATAGCTCTGGAGTCATTAGTTATCAGACTGATATCCTAGGAACAGAATGAGAAAAATGAAAAGGGACAATTTTGCACACCCTGTTCTAGATAAAATATGAGAGCTTTTCATCTCTGCTTCAACCCTGTAGTTTGTGAATATTGAAATACCTATCATAAAATATCGACATACTTTGATTTTAAGCAAATGGTTATGATTATTGCTTTTCTCACATTTAAAATTCAAATTTATTTTATATAAGAAGACATCTTACTAAAGAAACCTTAGTATCACCATAAAGATGAATATTTAATAGATACTAATAATATTCTTATATGTTTTGGAATTGTTAGGTTTGAAGAAATAAAATGTTACTTAAATCTACTACTTTTAACAACATTGTAAAGTTTATTGGTCTTGCAATAAAAGGCTTATAGAAAATTGCTCTGATATTACTTTTTATGTTTCATATAAAAGTAGGTAATTTCTAAGCAATGGGTCATTATCGTTCACAACTAACAGTGTTCAGCATTTAGGATTTTAACTGTGGACATCATTTTCTTCAAAAAAATGATAGATGTTATTTAATGCTTAAAGATTGCTGAACAACTGTGACCTTTTGCTGAAGAAATTTTCCCTAAACAAACTTAGTCAATAAGAACAATAAGACATTTTCAAATAAGCTTGCTAGGAGAGAGAATCTGAATTAAAATGTTCATACATTTCCTCACTCATTCGTACTAAGAAGAATCAAGTGTTGTTTCCAATCTATTATCAAAGGTCAGTTTCATCTGTTGCAAACACCTAAGAATGTTCATGTTAACCCGTTAGCAAAATTTCACCCTTCAGAAGTTCCTCGCTGGTTACTGATGATACCATATTTATCACAGGTAATTTTTAAAGTACTGTCCATCTCAAGCATAGGTAGAATATAGAAAATTGTTGGAAAATAACTCTGACCATTTGTACAGTGAATGTTTTAGAGGAAGATGTTAGAATCACAGGTGGAGGAGAGCCTTACATGACTTCTATTTTCTCAAGGCTTCCTTTTCTATCTCAGAAGGTCTTGCAAAGGCAGGCAGGGGACTTTTAACATCCCACAGTATTCTCTGAGGACCAATCTATAAACCATTATAATCCATATAATGTATTTATTTCACATTGTCTCAGCAATATTTTTCTTGGTAAGATATGACATAGGGATTCCCTTAAATAATTATGTAAAATTAGAAGTGTTTTTTGCAATGAGCTTTCTCCTGGAAGTTTTGCAGCATTTTATAATCTATTTTCCAATTAAAATACTTCTTTGGAGCATGCCCAGAGGATACCAAACCCCAAGGTGTCACCCAGCTCAGACTACCCTTTCTAAAGGACCACTACTTTGGTACCTACTGTTTGCTTCATGCATATTATTTCTACAATTTTCTTTTCTTATTTTATGAAATTTTCACATCATTTTTCATTTTTGTACAACGTTTGCATTTTCATTTTGGTTATATTCCCCATACAATTCCCAACCCCCTTATTTTGACCCTAATCCTTCCTCTCCCCGCCACCACTCCCATCATGGTGTGTCTCTGGTTTATAGTTGCTTGTTGATTTTGATTTTTTCTTTATTATAATTAGTCTTTATTTCTATAATATTTCCAGAGAAAAATTTAGTTATAACTATCAAAATACTTAAAATTATCAATGGTTTTAACATCTAGAATGTATCTCATCAAGATACATCTAGTCTCAAGCACTATGCTCTTCTGCTCTATTACTTTCATCTACTCTTGCTCTTCAGGGTCCATTTTCCATACTGAAGCTAACATTATCCTTATGAAACATTAATTACATTGGATCATCCTTCGCCTATAGTCTTTAAATGGTTTTCTGTTCCATCTAGAATACAATCTAAACTCTCTATAGGCAAGCGTACCACATTCCCTTCATTGAGTTTATGACTATCTCTCACTTTTACCCATTCTGTTCACTCATTCTGTTCCAGCTACATTTATTCTTACCACAGGCCCGTTGCATGTGGGGTCCTCTGCCCCAAACACGGTTCTCTCGGGTTTTCCTATGATTGCTTTCTTCTCCTATTCAGTATCAACCCAAACATCCCCCTCTGTGTGAACTCCAAGAAAACACTCTTCTAAAATAACTTCCCTTACTTCATTCTGTTTGTTTACTTTATAACATTTGTCAGCTATAGTCATTTTTTGGTTACTTTTTCTTGGAAAGCAAATACCATAAAAGGCACATTTTGTTTGCTTTTTCACCCCCATAACCTCAGTGCAGAACCAAGTCCATAGTGGGAACCCAAGAAGCACCAGTAGAATATTTTATAAATTAATTGTTACATTAAAAGATGCTTTTTCAAAGTAAAACTCCTACCTACTTGTTTAATGACCTCATGCCAGAAGTTACAGGGTAGAAAATGAGGTACAGCTCAATATATGGCCAAGAAGAAAAGTGCTTGCAGGACAATATATGAAGCCAATTTTTGCTAATAAATATGGCTGACATTTCCATACACTTAACACAGGAATTGAAAGGATAAGAGGAAGATTTACTTAAACCCATGACAAGAGATAACATTTTCTTAGTATCAAATATACATTATCCATCACAATAAAAACCAGACTAATTTAATCAAACAAGCAATCATTAAATCCATATATTAGATTACTCTAAAATATATCTCTATTTCTATTTTCTCACTTGCCCCACACTACCCCTAAATTAATAAAGTCTCACAGAAGGTTCTCACTATAGATCCTTTTTAGACTTGACACTGGCGGGTTCTTTTAACTTCCCCTTAGTATTGATAGTACAATGGCCACCCTGTGAACACACACAAATTCCCAGCAGTCAGAAGTCTGGCAAAATCAAAAATTTCTCTTCATCTCTAAGTGAGCAGGCTTAAGAAAGAATATGTTCTAAGACATTAAAGGTGAATATTTTAGTAACACCCGTGCAAAATACAACTTTCTGCTATCTTCCATGAAAATCTAAATTTTAATCATGTTACCCCAGTAGACTTTAAAAAGACAGACCTCAAAGGTAGCATTTTATTTGATATTCTCTTGTAGTCATGGACTAAAACTTTAGCATGAATAATTGGAGATCTGTACACTCATGTAAAGATGAAAGAACGGGACTCGATTTAACATGGGAGCTAAAAAAAAGTGAGATTACCTCCTTCTGTTACTTGAAAAGGATACACTTTAAAACCTATGAAACAAGGAGAACGGAACGTTATGCTGCATGAGCAGCATGTTGGTGGGCCCTCTTCCCAGAGTTGGTAAATCCTACACTGGGGTATTGACTTATTTCTTTGTGAATATGTTTTTCTGTATCTGAGTACTCTTCTATTTTGCAGTCCAATTCATATTACCTACAATAGGGTTATCAATGGTTTCAATATGTATATATTTCATAAAAACACTCAATTCTTATATCTTTGTATTTCCAAGCTATATTTAGATGCTATTACACCGTCAGATATTTTATACATCTTCCTACAACAACAATAAAAATTAACAGAATGAGAATAAATGTACACTGAGGGGCCTTACTGCTGGAGTAGGGATTAAGTCTCAGCACTATCACCAAGAAGGCCTGAGTTCGATCTGCAGCCAGAGAGCTGACCCACATGGCACAGCAGACCTGTCCTGACTCTCCTGCTGCTCCCCTCAGCAGTGTATTTCAGTCAGTCTGCCTGTTCTATTCCCCACTTTGTCTCTGGTAAGTCCTCTCACCCTCCACATCTCTGGCCTATACCCTAGTTCTTGTATGCATAAATAAAAATAAATCTTTTAAAAATAAAATAAAATAAGCACTGAGGTTTTCTTTGCCCTCACCTAGGTCATCTTGCTATACTGCTGCAGAATGCTTTCCCCACTTTGGAGGCCACTAAATTTTGCTGTATCTCCACAAGAGGAGCCAATTAATATTAACGTTCCTTTGATTTTCTGTTAAATTCTATTTTATACTTTGCAAATAATCTAGCTCTACATATATTTATAGTGTTGTGAGGTACTTCCCAGGCCAAGGCATTTGCTCCCACTACACGTAATATTGTGAGCTGCTCATGCAAATTCAATCGCTAGACTAAATAATATTATTAAAGATAAAACAGAAGCATTTCATAAACAATTCTTAAGTAAATTATAAGCTAGCATGCAAAAAAGTGATAGAGGATATAAATAAAAGCAATGCATACTATTCATTTGTGACTTTACTCTTATTGAAAATGCACAAAAATCTTTGACAGCAAAGCTCAGACTTTGCAATGGAAAGTGACTTTGGCATCTTCCAAGTTCAGCTATGTGTGTTCTTTAAGGGTCACAGGAGTTTCTATGTCTACAACCAGTTTGTTGGGGCCAAAACTTCAATGGCGGTTCTAACTATTTAGTGAAAACCAAAGGTTATGAATTTTTTACAAATACAAATTTTCTCCCTATTAAAACATTGCTTCACAATGACTGTATATGAAAAATCACTGGACCAAGTCTCTCTAAAACCCAGGATACAAGTAAATTTTTCCAACAGTCAATTTTAGGTGGGATTATGAAATAATATTAGCAAAATTATCATATGTAATGGAAAGTAACCACTTCTTATTTAGCACTGAGTATACCAAAAGAGGACCAGCACTTACCTGAATAACATGTTTCAGTTTATCAATAATCTGATTTATCATAGGATCCGTTCCTTTGACTTTGACCTCAGGATTTCCAGATTGGGCTTTGATTCCATTTCCAACCACCCGCTGAGTATAGCTAACAAAATGAAAAGTGAAAGAGATCTGCTTAGTAACCTGGTGAAAGCATTACCTGTCACAAGTATTGGAACAGATATGAATTTAGAAATTCATTCCTTTAAGATTATACAACAATATATTTTTTCTTGAAACAGAACCTGACACAGGTGCACTGTTTTTCTGATAAAATACTTAACAGGCAAATTAGACTATTCTAATATTTCTCTCAAAGGACTGCAAAAATGTATTTGCAATCCTACTTACCAACATACTAGGAAGAATTAATATACATTTCACTTAGTTAACAATCTCTGCTGAATTTTACATATATCTGTCTCCATGTTATCCGAGTCAATTTATTTCATTTTCAATTTATTTCATTTTACATGTTTTACACAATTTATTTCATTTTCATTTCAAAATATTTTTAACATATCACAATATAAAAACTCCCTTTTTCAATAGATAAACAGATCGATAAACAACACACTATATACATATGTTAACTGCACAAGTCAAAATCACAGACATAAACAACAAAAACTGACAAAATCTTTCGCAAGTAGGGAAGGCAAAATCTGCTTCCACCACAGTTCCCCTAAGCAAGGATCTAATAAATCACGTTATATGCCATAGGTGAATTCACAGGTGGTTAAAGTCCTTCCAAGTAACTAGCTTCCCAAAACAACAATCACCTGATGCAAACTTAGTATTCGCACAAATAATTTAATTCATCAGTGACAAAGATGTATTACGCCTATACTCAAGTTCTAATCTAAGTGTCTGGGATTTAAGGTGTAAGACTCAATTTTTGTCTTCATACCATTCATTGTCTAACTAGGTCTATAATGTATCAATTGATCTGTTCATTCATGCATTCATTCATATATTTTACTTTATTTTAAATATATTTGCTAGGATGCAGCAATATGATTATGCTTCTTTTCCTGACAGTGTGCTATGCAGCATAAAGACAAGGGAATGCAGTGCAACACTAGCGATGAAGATGTTCAGAATGCTGGGTATCTAGATGGGTGTCTATGCCAAATGAGAGATGGGAATAATGCAGATGGTAGACATTGAGAATATGGAGAAGTACATTTCGACAAAGTTACATGGAGAAAAGCTCAGGGGGAAATCAGAGTCCGAGGTCGCCCTTGAATTACCGAGGTAAGAATAGTTAGGTCTCAGGTTGTGTAGTTCATGCAAACTCCAGGGCAAAGGATGGAGTCCCAGCAGGAGAAAAGGCCAAGGACTCAAATAGCCAGGATGCTATTCATGACGACAGAGGATAAAAGGGGGACAAGACATAGACTCCCCATCCTTGAGGTTCAATCTACTATGTTTAAGACTCTCTGGTTAATTTGTTAGTTTACATTAACGGATCACAATAAAAAGACCTCAGAGATTTTCGGCATTTTCACATTACTTCAACGAAATTCTCCTTCCCTCGATTGGAGCAGAACAGCACAATCATCCACATGCATCTGTACATTTTCTACAGCAGAGCAAACTTTGAGAGGATAATAGGATCCTCTGATGGCTGCACTGTATTATATATGAAACAAATAAGTTGCAAGAAATATCTAGTTCTTCTCAAGATCATGCACACACAATGGCCAATTTTAAAAAGTGAATCAAACAATTCCTAATCATGTCCTTCAAATGTTAATAAATATTTGGCATTCTTTTATCTTTATAATATCAGCGGACATGACTAAATATATTAATGAATCTTTGTATTTTGACTAAAGAAGCAATATAATTTTTACTTTTTATAAAACCTTGAATCCATTTCTTTTCTTAGAAACAAAAGGGTTTGTAGTTTGGTATTCCAGTGTATATTAGGTTCTTGGCAACGTACACTAAAAATGAATAACAGGACAGAAACAATTATACATATTCTATTAATGTATAAAAATATTTTTAAGTTGGGAAGACTCAAGTAAACAATAAATAATAAGCTTCTGTTAGCTCCTTTGTGGCACCGTTATATTTTTCTTCTAAATCTTTCAAACAGATTGCATATGTGGCTCTTTTATTAATGTGCTTATTATTAAGAATAATCATGAGTAATATGAATACATAAATAGATAAATGTATTTCTATGACTCAGGCATTTTTCTAATTACTTTCCTAGGGGTTTGCCAATTAATCTTCATGATAATCATTTGTTATGGCCATGGGGATGTGCCTCATAGTTGTCAAAGTACAAGAAATTTAATTGACTATGGACACCTGCAGCTTAACTCTGAGATACATTTCTTCTGTTCCAGTAATGATGGGCACAGCAGGACCACTAAGACAGGTCCAGGGCCTCCCTAGTGGGGCAAGGGATTAAGCACAGCACTATGAAGCAATCCACTGCCATTATAGCATGAGTTCCATCCCTGGCCAGGGAGGTGACCCACATGGCAGAGCAGACCTCTCCTGTCTCTCCCGCTGCTTCCCTCAGCAGTGTATTTCAGTCAGTCTGCCTGTTCTGTTCCCCACTCTATCTCTGGTGAATTCTCTCACCCCCTGCATCTCTGTCCTGTAACCCAGGTCTTGTATGCATAAATAAATAAATCTTTAAAAAACAAATAATAAAAAAATAAAACAGGTCCATCTCTAGAGGACCCGAACTCTTCTGTCAGTCAACTGTGGTTCAGGCTTCCCTGAAGCCCTTGATAATCCTTCCTGAGACTGCACATCCTGCTAGAATATACCACTCAGCCTTCCTCTGCTCCCTTATCCACTCGCTTGGACACATTTTCCTCCCCAATGATTCTTGTGCCTTACCCTGATTCCTCCTCATTTTCTCTCATAGGCATTCCCTTAATAAAATAGGCTGTGTTTAATCCACACTTGGCATATGTTTCTTGAAGGATCCAGACCAATATATCACATATTAATTGTACTGTAATTATTCCCACTCTATAGACTGGGTATCTGAAATCTGAATTAAACAACTTTCCCAAGGCAACACTGTTAAGTGTGCAATCAGAGAATGAAGCCAGGGAGAGTGAGCACCAAATATAATCACTCAATAATTATTAGTGAAAACTCCTGAAGCTAATTAATACACATTAGAGATGCAATTACCTTGGTGTAAAATATTGTTTTTATTTTGCTGTGACTAACATTTGCAAAGACCTCACTGTCTAGAATCATGTTCTTCAAAAATCTCAATAAACAGTTGTATATAATCAGGTAAAGAGTAAAATAACAGTTGCTGGCAGGATGAGAAGAAACTAACATACTACACACTTGCCATTTGGTCTTCCCTTTTCTAGAAACACAGACATCATGCAAACAACAAAAACTGAGACCCATGTCTTATTTTCAGTTAAATTATTAACTGAATTCACAAATCGAAGCCCATGAAATCACCTTTTAGGTTGCAGGAATGTTGTTTCATAGCATTCTGAAGAATTGTCATTTTTGTTCATAATCATTACAGTTAATAGCAAAAAAAAAGAAATAATACTAAATATTTAGATAAAAAAGCCACAATATTATAATTAATCAAGAATATCATTCCAAGCAAACATATCACTAAACTTTTTCAGGATGGCTGTTCTTATGTATCATTTAGATAAGAAACATACTACAAAGTAGAACATTTAAGATATCTCCAAAGAAATATAATTTAATAGTTCTCTCTGCTTTTGTAAGGGTAAAGTGAACCATAATGCAACAGTGATACATGCATACCAGGATGGTTTAGATGAAAAAAAGTTTTGGCAACAATGGGAAGCAACTGGAACCCTCTCCCATTGTAGATGGAAGTATAAACTGTATAAACCTCTATTTGACACATGTACTAAAGTTAAGCACGCCCTCTGATCCTCAGATACACTCAACAATGTTTACCAAAACACAAGTGCAAGAAAGGTCAGGAACTACACTTCAAAAAACAGCAAGACTGAACTTAACCCAAATATTCATAAACACTCGTATGGACAAATGAAGATAAGTGTCTTTCTATACGAAATGTACTCTATGATCCCATGTCCAAAGAGTTTAAGAATGAATCAATGATGCTCCAAATCATAAGTGCTAGTTTTATAGGAGTATTCATTTGGTTAAAAAAAAAAAAATCCTAAAAGTATTGAACTGTATGGTTAAGATTTGGGGAAAAAGATTTGGATACTTTACTACATGCATGTTTTCAACCTAAACACAGGATTGTGCTCTTTTTTCTTAATGTATATGCCACAGACAAATTTGCATTGAACCATATATAAATAGAAGATCCACTTAGGTATTTTTAACCTGGGCTAAATAGCTTCGTCATCACTAAGTGAGTAATTTAGGAGCCTCGTTTAATATAGAAAACTCCTCCCTACAGATGTTAATTTGCATGCAAAATACGGCCTCTAAATTAAATAAGAATTTTTCTAACAAAAACTTTTTAAGTTTCTCTCATTACGAAATTTTAATAAATCATTAATCACTCTTTTTCCTCCCAAATGTAAAGTAATGGATAAAACATTTCAAGAACCCCTACAGAGGCTTCTTGATTTGAAAAATTGCTCACATTTCAATGAGAAAGAGGAAACAAAACACACAAAAAAAAAAAAACAGAGAGGCAAATTTTTTTGTTAGAGAAGTAATAGACCCACCATCTGTGCTTATTTCTTCTAAGCAACTCTGGTAATGGATGACAGCAGTTTAATAGGGATCCTCGCTCCCCATGTACGACTCATTTTTCATTAACGTGGAAAAAAGGCAAGAACTGATATATTTACATTCCATAAAAATGTTTTAAAATGATGATTAACAAGATTCCGTTCTCTTTGTTTAGAACATATGAAATGTTAAAAGTAATGCTAATAAATCTATACACAGTATGTCACCAGAAAGTCATTTCTTCTAACTTTACCAACATTATTTACTGAAACTCATGCTAACCCCTATTGTTTTAATTTCACTTTACTTAGAATGCAATGTAATCTGTTACAGAGTCACATCGAAAGTCGAATATTTTGATGGGCACTCACAGAATATTGGGATAGAAAATATCTGGAATCTGAC